AGCCAGGCCGTCATTTCAGCTCCAAGGAACTCACCACCCCGGTCTGTCCTAATCCGCTTCACTACACACTCCGCCTGCTTCTCCACGAATGGCAGCCAATCGTCCCGTATCGTGGAGGCGGCGTGGTCCTTCTGCTTCAGCGGATACGCCCACATCAGCCTGCTCCAGTCATCCACAATTGTAAGAAAATACCGCTCCCCCTTGTGCCCTTGCACCGGCAGCGGCCCCACCAAGTCCATGTGGACCAGCTCCAAAGGCTTCTTGCTCCTGCCAGCCACACTATGGAAAGGGAAACGGGTGAACTTTGAAAGCAAACAGATTTCACAGTTGTCATCGGGTGGCTGTCCGTTCAGCTTCAGACCCTTAACGGCTCCATCCTTCTCCAGCTGCTTCAGCAAAGGCATTGCCACATGCCCTAAGCGCCGGTGTGCCGTTGCCCAATCTGTCTCCCCAGATCTGGCCGACACTTTCACACCAACCCCTCCAACGGCATTGCACTCCCCCTGGGATGCAGACCCCTCTCCAGCCTGCCCCCCACCATGCCACGCCAGGGCCGGCAGCTGCCACATAGATCTGTACACGTCCTTGCTCTCGTGCAGATCCCAAAGCACCCGATTGCCCAGCTTCCCCTTATAAGTGCGTGCCCCATCTGTGTTGGTGTTCACCCCAGCCTTGCCAAGCTTACGGAGGGAGATAAGGTTGGCCTTCAGGTCGGGGACGAAGAGAACGTCGTGCAGCACCACCGGCTTGCCATCCGCTCCCTTAAACGCAGCTCGTCCCGCACCAGCCACCTTCAACATGTGTCCAGAGGCGGAGCACACTTCATTGATCGGTGCAGCTCGTACTTCGTCCAGCAGGTCCTTGCGCGGCGTCATCGTCCAAGCAGCGCCTGTGTCCAACACCCAATAGTCTAGGGGGTGCAGCTCTGCTCCAACTTTGGCAGAGGCGTCTCCTTGCTCCCCCTTGTCTCCCACATGGAAGAATTGGCCCGCGGTGCGCTCCTTCTTCTTCTCCGCACCGCCGTTGCCCTTCGGGTTGTTGTCGGACGAATCAACGACCATGTTGGCGCCGTTTTTCTGGTTCCTCCGCGCGCCGCCATCCTGGTGACGATTCTGGGGGGTCCATCCATCGGGTTTCTTATAGCACAAAAACCAGGGGTGCCCTTCCTTCTCACAATACCAGCAACTTCCTTTCATTTTGCCACCAGCACCCGACTTGCCCCCACGTCCAGATTTCGCACCGCGACCCCAACCGGTACCTCCTTGTTGGTCGTTGGAGTCGTCGTCTTTCTTTGCACCGCGTCCAGCACCACCGAAGCCACGTCCTCTGCCACGTCGGCTCCCTTGCATCCCGTAGCTGCTGCTGCCGTCGTCTCCACCCCTCAGTTGGCGGCGACGGAAGTCCTCCTCCAGAATCTTCGTCCGCACCCACTCGAGCGTCCACAAGCTCTGGTTCTGCGGCAGGCTCAATCCGCTCGTAAATTGAAGCCACGATTCCGGCAGCAGCGAGAGCATCTTCAAGCACTTGGTCTGCTCTGGGTAGGTGATTCCCGCGGTCGCCAACTTCGCGTAGAGGTCGCGCATCTTGTCCAGGACTGGTTGCACCGGCTCTCCCTCGCTCAGGCGCAACGCGGACAGCTCCCTCTCCAGCATCAACGTTGCGACAACGGAGGTCGGGGCGTGCAGCTCCTTCAACACGGTCCACGCCTTCGGACCGCATTCAACCTCCGGCAGCAGGTGCATGACGTGGTGACGCTGGTTCAGCTCCAAACTCTGCGACATCAAATAGTAGCCAGCCGAGGAGCGCTCGTCCCAATCTTCCTGCAGCGTGGGGTCACTCGGTCTAGGCTCTTCCCCAATCATTAGTTTCAGCAAACCGATCTGACGGAAATATAATTGCATTTTCCAGGCCCAATCATCATAGCCCTCACCATTGAACTTCTCGACGGTGAAATTCTTCAGCACCTCCTTGACAAGCGAGCCCTGGTTTGTTCGCGCTCCCCTTGGCGCTGAAAGACCAGAATCTTGGCTGCCGCTACGATCTTGGGCTGAAGATTCACCAGCTCCTGCCGAGGTGTTGCCCGCCATAGCTACCTATAACGAGGATCACTATAACGCGGCTCTGATACCAGCTTGTTGGTGTAAGGGCCTAATAAACTCAAGCTATTAGGACTTAACCAAACTTAAAACCTCTCCTCGGGGTCACCTCCAAGGGTCCCTGGGTGCCTGGTACAAGACCAGCCCCTATCCTCGGGTCCGAGTTTGTAGAGAGAGGGATCAAGAAGGACTTAGTCAAAACAGCAAGAGTACCTTGAACGTCGCGCAGCGTGCCGTGCAGACCGTCGATCGGATTAAGCTGAGAATTCGCTATATCGAAGCTCGCTCCAAGAGCTTTAAAATGAGCCAAGTTGCCTCGCGAAAAGTTCTGCCATTACTAAGTTATGGCTCGGACAGCGTTTGCCTAGCGTTGGAGTGCTAGCATACTAGCGTTGACTCGGGTAGCATTCCGCCGTCGAATAGCGCAGAAACGAAATTCCAGCGAGGAAGGAATTCGCTTGAATCAATTTGACTATATTCAGGTACAAACAGAGAAGGATTAAATAGTTCTAGCTAGCAAGGACCTTGGGAATCAACCTAGGAACAACCAGGGATGATCCCAAATAATTCCAAGCAACAGAACCAACCTGGCTGGACAACCTCAAGCACATAGAGTGGCGACAAGCCTGGCTGCAGCACATGGTGAAGCGCGGGAAGTTCGCATTGCAGTACATCTCGACCACCGAGCAGCCGGCTGACTTCCTGATTAAGACGCTGCGCTACTCGGCCTTCAACCGGTGCTGCTTCGCAATCGGCCAAGTGCGCTTGGCCGACGCGGGCGACGGTGACAACGACGTGCAGCAGTAGGTGCCATGCTCTCTTGCATGGCTGGTGCAGTGACCGGCGTGCTGTGTATTGTGTGCACGCCGACGGGCTATTCTCCGAGTAGTACTGCCGTGTGGGCTGGGGGCCCAAGCGTGAACGCGGCAGGGGAGTGTCAACGAGAGTTGTGTTCGGCCCCGTCCTCGCTTGGGCGGAGCTGACCTCGTGGTTGGGTGTGCGGGGGACGTAGCCGACCTGCAGCAGTGGGCTAGCTGGTCGACGAAGTTGGTCGACTTGCACCGGGGCCACTGCAAGGGCACCGACTTCCGGGCGCCTAGTTCGGGGGTGGTCGACCTGGCGAGGTCGACCTGGCAGGACGCCGACTTCAGGGCGCCGACTTGCGATGGCCGACGACTTGGCAAAGTCGGCGGCCCAGTTCCTCCGTGATAGACGCAAGGAGGCCGATCAGGGGTGACGCCGACCTGGTGGTGTCGACCTGGTTGCCCGGTCGACCGGGATACCCGGGCGACGGACTTCCGCGGAGGCGTGCGAATGTCGCCGGGATGGCTTCAGCGAGATCACCCTCAGGGATGGTATCCCGAGGTCGACGTGGCTGGTGGGCGCAGTAGCTGGCGTGGACTTCGCCAAGCGACTGCGTTGTGCTCGTGACAACGCATGGAGCACCAATCGGCCGCGCGCACCTGCAAAGCAGGTGCACCGTTGTCCTGCGGGTGCAATGCTGTGCAGCCGACTTGCTGCAGCGTTGGCACACCACGGACTTGTTAAATTGTAATGTGTTATATATTGGTAGGCTGTAGTGGGGTAGCCAATATGGGGTACAACCCCAACTAGGGTTTGCTACTTGTACCCAACTGTTTCATTCAATGCACTCATTCTTGCCTAGTTCTGTTGATATGGTATCAGAGCAGGAGGTCCCTAGGACCTACCGACCGTTTTTTTTTAAGGGCCCACCACCGCTCGCATGCGGTTACCACGCTACCCCGTGCCCTAGCCTCGTAGCGCCCTCGTGCGCCCTCGTTAGCGCCCTCGTGCGCCCTCGTTAGCGCCCTCGTGCGTCCTCGTTAGCGCCCTCGCGCGCCCTCGTTAGCGCCCTCGCGCGCCCCTCGTTAGCGCCCTCGCGCGCCCTCGCTAGCGCCCTCGTGCGCCTCTCGCTAGCGCCCTCGCGCGCCCCTCGCAGTGTCGCCCGCCCGCCGAGCCGCCCGCTCGCAGCGTCGCCCGCCCGCCCGCTGCCCGCTCGCAGCGTCGCCCGCCCGCCCGCTGCCCGCTTCGCAGCCCGCCCGCCCGCTCGCTGCCCGCTCGCAGCGTCGCCCGCCTACCGCGCTGCCCGTTTCGCAGCCCGCCCGCCGCGCTGCCTGCTCGCAGCGTCGCCCGCCCGCCCGCTGCCCGCTTCGCAGCGTCGCCCGCCCGCCGCGCTGCCCGCTCGCAGCGTCGCCCGCCCGCCTCGCTGCCCGCTTGCAGCGTCGCCCGCCCGCCTCGCTGCCCGCTTGCAGCGTCGCCCGCCCGCCCGCTGCCCGCTTGCAGCGTCGCCCGCCCGCCCGCTGCCCGCTTCGCAGCCCGCCCGCCGCGCTGCCCGCTCGCCGCGTCGCCCGCTCGCCCCGCTGCCCGCTTCGCAGCCCGCCCGCCGCACTTCCCGCCTGCAGCGCCGCCTGCCCACCGCGCTGCCCGCTTCGTAGCCCGCCCCCCGCACTGCCCGCTCGCCGCGTCGCCCGCCCGCCGCGCTTCCCGCCGAGCTACCTACCTGCAGCGCTGTGGCAGCTTCCTCTACTCAGTCGCACTGTCGCTATGGCTTCCATCCGCGTGCTGTCGTTCGATGCTGAGGGCCGCCCTGTGAAGTTCGCCACTTGGCTGGATGACCTGCAGCTGTTCCTTCTGAGCGATAGCAAGGAGCATGTGTCGCTCTATGATTACGCGTCTGGTGCTGCACCTGCCCCCCCTGCCACAGCTGAGCTTAGTGTTCGTTCCCACTGGCAGACTCGTGATGCAGCTGCTCGCCTAGCCATTCGCAATCACCTCCCGCTAGCTGAGCTCGAGCATTTTGGCGACTGCAAATCCGCTAAGGCCCTGTACGATGCTGTCGTTGCTCGCTACTCCTCGCCTGCCACAGCCGAGCTTAGCCGCCTCATGCTGCCGTACCTGTTCCCTGAGCTGTCCACCTTTGCTACAGTCGCCGATCTTATCACCCACCTTCGCACTAGTGATGCTCGCCTGCGTGCCGCCCTTCCCACCGAGTTCTGCGCTAAGAATCCCCCTCCCCTGTACTGGACACTCCACTTCATAGTCACCCGTCTCCCTGACACCCTCAGCTCAGTTCGAGACCACTTCCTTGCTCGCTGTCCCACTGAGCTCACAGTCGCCCTCCTAGAGGAGCAGCTGCTAGCGGCCGAAAAGAGCATTGTAGCTGTCGGTGCTGCTCGTGGCGCTCCTCGCACCCCCATCTTTGAGGGGTGTTCTCCCTCTCCCCTCGCTCCCTCCTACACTACTGCTGCTGCTGTTGACTTCCTTGGTGCTGAGTCTGCTGGCGCTGCTTCTGCTCCTGGTGGGAGGCGCCGCACCGGCAAGGGCAAGGGGGGCAAGGGTGGCGGGGGTGGCGCTGGGGGGGGAGGAGGTGGGGGAGGTGGGGGGGGAGGCGGTGCTGGAGGGAGCGGTGGCGGGAGTGCTGGTGGGAGTGGGGTCGGCAGCGGAGGCGGGGGCGGCGGAGGGAGCGGTGGCGGTGGTGGCGGCGGCGGCGGCGGTGGCGGCGGCGGCGGTGGCGGTCGGAGCGGAGGTAGTGGTGGTGGCGGAGGCAGGAGTGGAGGCACTGGCTCGGGCCAGAGCTCCCAGCAGCAGCAGCGTCCCCAGACGACCCAGCAGCTTCGTGAGTGGCTTGCTCAGCGTGGGACGTCGGGGGGCAATGGCCGCTGTTCCTATGTCATTCGTACAGGTGACCGCAAGGGACAGACGTGTGGGAGGTTCCACACCCCGTACCGCTGCTTCTCCCGCCTTGACGACGCTTGGCGTGAGGAGATGGGCGAGGATGTTGAGCGCCCCCGCTGGGCTGAGCTCATGAGGGCTGGTGTTGATATCTTTGCTCTTGACTATGATGCTATTATTGCTGCCATGTATGCATTGACTGTTAGTGCCGAGGGAGACTGTTACTTGTGTGTGCCGCCTGACCCAGGTATAGAGCCCGCTGCCCTGGGTACTAGTGAGTCTGCTCTCTCTGGTATGGTGCCCCCTGTACTTGCTCCCTCCAGTGCTGTCCCGGCTGTTTGCGAGTCTGCTCTCTCAGGTACAGCACCCACAGAGACTGCTCTCTCAGGTACCGCACCGGCTGAGGCCTGTCACACCTTCACCCTTGACTCAGGTGCTTCCCGCTGTTTCTTTCGTGACAGTACTGAGCTCACACCGCTTCCTGCACCGGTCCCAGTCTCCTTGGCTGACCCCTCTGGGGGCCCAGTCCTTGCCCAGTCCACCACTGTGCTCCCTTGTCCGGCGGTTCCGTCTGGCTCGTTGTCTGGTTTCCACCTCCCCTCGTTCTCGACGAACCTGGTGAGCAACGCTGTCATCCAGGATCAGTGGGTTGACACCTTTACCCCTGGAGGACAGCGTGTGGCGATCTGCACGTGCTCCAGGACCGGCCGTCACCTGGCTACGTTTACCCGTCGGCCGGGGTCGAGTCTCTACACACTGACCACTGCGTCTCCTCAGGTCGCTGCTGTCGGTCAGGTGTCTGCGTCAGGTCTGGTGGCCCACGCCTGTGAGTGTCGTTCCCTGTCGCACCAGACTCTTCTCTGGCACCACCGCCTGGGTCACCCCTCCTTGCCACGCCTCCGTGGCATGCACCGTCGCCGCCTTGTGTCTGGTCTTCCCAGGTCCCTCCCTCCCCTCCCTGCCTCGCCTGCGCCGCCTTGCCTTCCTTGCGTCGAGGGGCGGCAGCGCGCCGCTCCTCACTCCTCCTCGTTCCCCCCGACAGAGGCTCCTCTGCAGACCCTCCACCTGGACGTGTGGGGCCCAGCCCGCGTTCGTGGCCAGGGCGGTGAGCGGTACTTTTTGCTGGTTGTCGACGACTACTCGCGTTACACCACGGTCTTCCCCTTACGCACCGTTCGTCTCCAGCTCCGCCGCCGTTTCCGGACGGATCTTCCTGTCCTGCGTCTGCACTCTGACAGAGGTGGTGAGTTTTCCTCCGATCTCTTGAGGACCTTCTGTCAGGCGGAGGGCATCGAGCAGACCTTCACGCTTCCGGACTCCCCACAGCAGAATGGGGTTGCTGAGCGCCGCATTGGCCTGGTCATGGAGGTCGCTCGTACCTCCTTGGTCCACGCGGCGGCTCCCCATTTTCTGTGGCCGTTTGCTGTCCGGTACGCCGCGCATCAGCTCAACCTCTGGCCCCGTGTCTCCTTACCGGAGACCTCGCCCACACTGCGTTGGACGGGGGAGGTTGGCGATGCGTCGCGCTTCCGAGTGTGGGGTGCTCGTGCCCTTGTCCGCGATACGTCCGCGGACAAGCTCTCCTCCCGCACACTTCCCTGTGTCTTCCTTGGCTTTGTTCCTGACGCGCCGGGCTGGCAGTTTTACCACCCCACCTCGCGCCGGGTCTTCGCCTCTCAGGACGTCACCTTTGACGAGTCGGTCCCTTTTTACCGTCTCTTCCCCTACCGCACTGCCCCCCTCCCTCCCCCGCCGCTTTTCCTTGCTCCTGGTCCCCCTCCGGTAGACCCCCTTCCCCCTCAGGGTCCTGCTCCTTCAGGTGTCTCTCAGGTAGACCCTCCTCCCGTCGCTGAGCCTGTCGAGGTCACAGGTGACTCAGGTGCTGCTGCAGGTGGTGCTGCTGGGAGTGCTGAGCCTGGGGGTGCTGAGCCTGCGGGTGCTGGGCCTGGGAGTGCTGGGACTGCGGGTGCTGGAGCTGAGGGTACTGTGCCTGGGAGTTCGGCGCCTGGGGGTGCTGAGCCTGGGGGTGCTGCGACTGGGGGTGCTGAGCCTGCGTGTGCGGAGTCTGGGGGTACTGCGGCTGCGGGTACTGAGCCTGGGGGTGCTGCTACTGAGCCTACGGAGCCTCGGGTTGCTGCGTCTGGGGGTGCTCCGGTTCGGGGTGCTGAGGACTCGGACGTTGGAGCTGCTGCTGGAGCTGAGGACCCGAGCGGTGGCGCTGCTGCTGGTGCTGGGGACCCGGACGCTGGAGCTCCTGCTGGTACTGAGGACCCGGCCGCTGGAGTCTCTTCTGCTTCTGGAGACGCTGCGCGGCCGCGGCCGTACTTCGTACCGCTCCTTCAGCAGGTTCTTGGGCAGGCTCCTCCTCCTTGTCCTCCTCCCTCCGTAGACTGTCCTCCGCCTGTCCAGCCGCAGTCACAGTTACCGCCTACCTCGCCTCTCCCTGCTCCCTCTCCTTACACTGGTCCCACAGGAGGTCTTACAGAGCGTCGTGAGCCTCAGTCTCGTCCTGCGTCGCCTGTTCGTCGTGCTCGCACTGGTCGTCGTGTCCGTCGTGAGCGTCCTCCTCCTGTCCCAGGCACTCACTACATGACTCTGCGTCCATCTACTGCTCCTCAGCGTGTCCCTCTACCGTCTCCTCCTGCGTCCTCTTTGCCTGCCGTTCCGGACCCTGAGTCTGACCGGTATCGTGCTGAGCACCCTACTGTCACGCGTCTCCTAGCTACTGTTGTCACTGACCCTACCTTTGAGTCCTCGGCTGCGTCTGCTCTAGTCGCTGAGTTGGTTGACTTTGCTGCTACCTGTCGTCTAGACTACGCTGCTCGCCTTGTTGCTGAGTCTGAGTCTGCGTCTGTCTGTGAGTGTGCTCTTGGCACGGACGTCCTTGAGGACAGGCAGGAGGACTTTGACTCTCTCGCGGCTGCTGTACCTCATCTCGTGGCCTGGTTGCTTGCCCCTGAGGGAGACCCGGATGCACTAGACATCCCCACTCCGCGCACTTACGCAGAGGCGATCTCGGGTCCCTACTCCTCTCAGTGGCAGACAGCCATGGACGCAGAGATGGCATCCTGGAAGTCCACAGGCACCTACGTCGACGAGGTTCCCCCTCCTGGGGCGAACATCGTCGATGGCATGTGGATTTTCAGGGTGAAGCGGCCGCCAGGTTCTCCGCCTGTCTTCAAGGCTCGTTACGTTGCTAGAGGCTTCAGTCAGCGTCAGGGGGTCGACTTCTTCCAGACCTTCTCCCCCACCCCGAAGATGACCACTCTTCGGGTTCTGCTGCACGTTGCTGCTCAGCGTGACTACGAGCTTCACTCTCTTGACTTCAGCACAGCGTTCCTGCAGGGCAGCCTGCACGAGGAAATCTGGCTGCGCCGCCCACCTGGCTTTACTGGGTCGTTTCCGCCTGGTACCCAGTGGAGCCTCCGCCGGCCAGTCTACGGTCTCCGCCAGGCGCCACGTGAGTGGCACGACACACTGAGGACTACACTTGCGGCTCTTGGGTTCGCGCCGTCTACTGCTGACCCGTCGCTGTTTCTGCGCACAGACACGTCGCTGCCGCCGTTCTACATTCTCGTGTACGTCGACGACTTGGTCTTTGCTACTGCTGACACTGAGGCACTCGCTCGTGTGAAGTCGGAGCTGCAGAAGAGACACACCTGCACTGACCTGGGTGAACTGCGTAGCTACCTTGGCTTGCAGATCACCCGGGACAGAGCTCGCCGCACCATCACCCTGACTCAGTCACACATGGTGCAGCAGGTCCTTCAGCGCTTCGGCTTCCAGTTCTCCTCACCACAGGCCACACCTCTGGCTACCAGCCACTCGCTCTCAGCTCCACCTTCGGACGAGTCCGTAAAGCCTGACCTCATGTACCCTCATGACTTGCACGCGACCTGACCTCGCGTACCCTCTTAGCATCCTTGCTCGTTACGTTGCGCCTGGGAGACACAGGCGAGAGCACTGGGAGGCTGCTAAGAGGGTGCTGCGTTACTTGTGCAGTACATCAGGCATGGGGCTGGTGCTTGGAGGACGCGACAGAGTTGTCCTCACTGGTCACTCGGACGCTTCTTGGGTGGACGACCTAGCTACGCAGCGGTCGTCACAGGGTTACACCTTCAGCCTTGGCTCTGGTTCTGTCTCGTGGCGGTCCACCCGCTCTTCTTCTGTTCTCGGCTCTAGTTGTGAGGCTGAGATCTACGCCACAGCCATGGCTGCACAGGAGTTACGCTGGCTCACCTACCTGCTGACTGACTTGGGAGAGCGGCCTAGTTCTCCTCCAGTTCTGTACGGTGACAACAAGGCGGCCCTTGCCTTGTGTCAGGAGCACAGACTGGAACACAGGACGAAGCACATTGCTCTTCGCTACTTTCTTGCTCGAGAGCTTCAGCAGCGCGGTCAGCTTCGGCTTGTGTACGTGGACTCGAAGGCCAACACTGCTGATATCTTCACCAAGGCGCTCCCGCCTAGTGATCATCAGCGACACTGTACTTCTTTAGGCCTTGTGTCCACATTCCCTCATTTGCTTACTGCTTGACTTTCTTTGTACTGTACTTTATATATATCTTGTTGCTTGCTTGCTAGGTTTTGATCACTGTGTTGCTTGTCTTGTACTATATCTAGCACTGCATGTGAACTGGCCTTGTGCCCTTTGCTTGTGCTCGGAGTGTGGTGACGTTGTGATCCACCCTGGGCTTGCGTTGCTTTGCTAGACTGGTCTTGTGACCCTTTGTTCTCCCCCACTTTGCCTATGGGGGTGTGTTAAATTGTAATGTGTTATATATTGGTAGGCTGTAGTGGGGTAGCCAATATGGGGTACAACCCCAACTAGGGTTTGCTACTTGTACCCAACTGTTTCATTCAATGCACTCATTCTTGCCTAGTTCTGTTGATAGGACTTTCAACGTTGGCAAGCCGCGTCCCTGCGGCGCTGGAGCGGTGCGAGCAGTGCTTCGCTTGAAGGCGGTCGACCAATTTGCTAGCTAGCTGGGATGTAGTCATGTATGCCAATGTTGTTGCTACCATTGTTGTGAACTTTTGCTAGTGAAACTCTTGCCAAATTCCCCCATCAACCAGCAAGCAGTGAGAGCACAAGGAAACGACTAATGAACGAACGCTACGATCACCCTCACACCCGTGCCTGGCCCGTAGTCTAGCTCCCGTTGATAGAGTTATCTCCGCACCTATCTGGATGGTACTAGAAGTAAGAGCGTAACTTACCTTTGTGGATGGTACTACGAGAAAGTGCCTCATATGCTCATGTGGATGGCACTTAGAGTAAGTGTGATACTTCCCTTGTTGATGGTAGTAAGAGCAAATGCGTAATCTTCCCATGTGGATGGTACTAAGAGCAAGTGCGTTACTTACCCATGTGGATGCGTTACTTTCCCAGATGGAAGGTACTAAGAAAAAGTACGTTACTTACCCATATAGATGGTACTAAGAGAAATTCCGTCACTTACCTATATGGATGGTATTAAGAGTAAATGCGTATTTTACCCATATGGATTATACTAGGAGTAAGTGCGTTATGTACACATGTGGATGGTACTACGAGAAAATGCGTTACTTATGTATATGGATGGTACTAAGAATAAGTGCGTTACTTACCCATATGGATGGTACTTGAAGCAAGTGCGTAAATTACCCACGGGAATGGTACAAGCAGTAAGTCTGTTACTTACCCATATGGACGGTAGTTAGAGAAAGTGTGTTACTTATCCATCTGGATGATTCTAAGAGTAAATGCGTTGCTTACCTATATGGATAGTACTAAAAGTAAGTGCGTGACGTACCCATATGGATGATTCTAAGAGTAAATGCGGTAGTTAAAGATATGGATGGTACTAACAGTAAGTGCGTTACTTACCCATGTGGTTGGTACTTGCAGAGATAACTTTATCAACGGGAGCCAGACTACGGGCTAGGCACGGGGTGGGAGTGATCTCTGCGTTCGTTCCTTGTGCACACACTGCTTGCTAGTTCACGGGGAAATTTGGCAAGAGTTTTACTAGGAAAAGGTGACAACAATGATACAGAATAGCAAGGCAGCAATGACTACATCAGAGCTAGCATGCAGGCCGGACGAGTGCCAGCGCAGCACGGCCGACCGCGTTCCAGCATGACTTGGTCGACCTCGCTCCTGCAGTGCAAAGTTGCAGCCCGCCAACAATGCAAGTCGACGGCGTGCCAACGCTGCAGCAAGTCGGCTGCACAGCGTTGCACCCGCAGGTCAGCAGTGCACCCCTGCTTCGCAGATGCTCGCAAAAAATTGGCGTGCCAAGTCTTGTCACCTGCACAACGCACATACCAGATCGTACCCATGCTGTCTGATCAGCAACGTCGACCTCGGGATACCACACCGAGGTTGGCCTCGTCACGATGGGCGACAGTCGCGTGCCTCCGCAGAAACCCGTCGCCCGGGTAACCTGGTCAACCTGGCAACCACCACGTCGACCAGCTCCTCCTCGTGCCCATCGACCCCGCAGGTCGACCATCACCACCGGTCGACCGTCCCAGTCGACCTTCCAAGTCGACCTTCCGTAGTCGGCGCCCTCCCAAATTCGGTGCCCATGTCTGTTCGACCGCCGGCTCCCCATCGTCGGCAGTGTGACAGTGGCCTCGAGCAGGTCGACCAGCTGATCGACCTGCGCGCCCAAATCGGCGTCGCCCACTGCAGCTGATCAATTGCGCTCCCTGCACACCCGACTACGAAGTCGGCTCCGCCGCCAACAACAACTCCCGTTGACAGTACTAAGAGTAAGTGTGTTATTTACCCATATGGATGGTACTAAGAGTATGTGCGTTACTTACCCGTGTGGATGGTACTAAGAGTAAGTGCATTACCTACTCTTGTGGATGGTACTAAGTTCAAGTGCGTTACCTACCCATGTGGATGGTACCAGAAGTAAGTGAGTAATTTACCTATGTGGATGGTACTAAGAGTAAATGCACTACTCACCCATGTGGATGGAACTTAGATTAAGTGTGTTACTTAACCATGTGGATGATTCTAAGAGTATGTGCGTTATTTGCCCATGTGGATGGTACTAAGTATGTTATTTACCCGTATGGATAGAACTAGGAACTGGTGTGTAATTTACCCATGTGGATGGTACTAAGAGTAAGTGCGTTACTTACCCATATGGAAAAAGCAAGAGCATGAACTACCCATGTGGATAATACTAAGTATAAGTATGATACTTGCCCATATGGATGGTACTATGAGAAAGTGTTTTACTTACCCATATGGATGGTACATGGAGTAAGCGCGTTACATACTTATGTGCATGGTACTAGAAGTAAGTCCGTAAATTACCCATGTGGATGGTTCTAAGAGTAACTGTGTTTTTTACCCATATGAATGGTACTAAGAGTAAGTGCGTTACTTACTCATATGGTTGGTACTAAGTATATGTGCGTTACAAACTTATGTGGATGGTACTCAAAGTAAGTGCGCAATTTACCTATGTGGATGGTACTAGGAGTAAGTGCGTTACTTACCCATGTGGATGGTACCAAGAGTAAGTGCATACATTACCCATGTGGATGGTACTAGGCACTAGTGTGTTTCTTACCGATATGGATGGTACCAAAAGTTAGTACGTTACTTTCCCATGTAGATGTTACTAGGAGCAAGTGCAAAGAACTCATGTCTGTGCTAGTAACTGCGTTACTTACTTATGTGGATGGTACAAAGAATAAGTGCGTAATTTACCCATGTGGATGGGACTAAGAGCAAGTGTATAAATCACCCATATGGATGGTACTAAGAGAAAGTGTGTTACTTATTCATCTGGATGGTACTAACAGTAGGTGCGTTATTTACCCATGTGGATGGTACTAAGAGAAAATCTGTTACTTATATGGATGGTACTAAGAATAAGTGCGTTACTTACCCATATGGATGGTACTTGAAGTTAGTGCGTAAATTACCCATGGGAATGGTACTAGCAGTAAGTCTATTACTCACCCATACGGATGATACTAAAAGAAAGTTTGTTACTTATCCATCTGGATGATACTAAGAGTAAATGCGTTACTTACCTGTATGGATGGTACTAAGAGTAAGTGCGTTACGTACCTATATGGATGATACTAAGAGTAAATGCGGTATTTACCTATGTGGATGGTACTAATAGTAAGTGCGTTACTTACCTATGTGGGTGGTCTTGCGGAGATAACTCTATCAACGAGAGCTAGAATACGGGCTAGGCACCGGGTGGGAGTGATCTTTGCGTTCGTTCCTTAGCAGTTGCCTTGTGCACAAACTGCTTGCTAGTTCACGGGGAAGTTTGGCAAGAGTTTCACTATGAAAAGTTGACAATAATGATACAGAATAGCAAGGCAGCAATGACTACATCAGAACTAGCATGCAGACAGGACGACTCCCAGTGCAGCACGGTCGACCGTGTTCCAGCATGACTTGGTCGACCACGCTCCTGCAGTGCAAAATTGCGGCCTGCCAACAATGCAAGCCGACGGCGTGCCAACGCTGCAGCAAGTCGGCTGCACAGCGTTGCACCCGCAGGACAGCAGCGCACCTGCTTCGCAGGTGCTCGCAGATGATTGGCGTGCCAATTCTTGTCACCTGCACAGCGCACACATCAGATCGTCCATATGCTGTCTGATCAGCCACGTCGACCTCGGGATACCACCACTGAGGTCGTCCTCGCCAAACACTAGGGCGACAGTCGCGTGCCTCCGTTGAAACACGTCGCCCAGGTAACCTGGTCGACCAGGCAACCACGTCGACCAGTTCCTCCTTGTGCTCGTCAACCCTTCAGGTTGGCGACCACCACCGGTCGACCGTCCCAAGTCGACCGCGCACCTGGTCGACCAGCCCGAGGTCGACCAGCACACATATCAGCCGACCACCGAAGTCGGCCTCACCAATTCGGCGTCTCCAAGTCGACGCCCTCCACATGTCGACCTCCCAACTTGACCTCCCGTAGTCGGCGCCCCCCCGAAGTCGGCTCCCAGGTCTTTTCGACCGCCGGCTCCCCATCGTCGGCGGTGTGGCAGTGGCCTCGAGCAGTTCGACCAGCTCGTCGACCTGCGCGCCCAAATCGGCGTTGCCCACTGCAACTGATCGGCTGCGCTCCCTGCACACCCGACTACGAAGTCGGCTCCGCCCAAGCGAGGACGGGGCCAACAACAACTCCCGTTGACACTCCCCTGCCGCGTTCACGCTTGGGCCCTCAGCCCCAATGGCAGCACTTCTCGGTGAATAGCTCGTCGACGTGCACACAACACATAATACACCGGTTACCGCACCAGCCATGCAAGAAGGGCATGGCACCTACTGCTGCACGTCATCATCGCTGCCGCCCACGTCGGCCAGGCGCACTTGGCCGATTGCGACGGAGCACCGGTTGAAGGCCGGGTGGGGCCTTTGTCAGGAGGTCAGCCGGCTGCTCGGTGGTGGGGATGTACGTCAGCGTGAATTTCCCGCGCCTCACCATGTGCTGCAGCCAGGCCTATCGCCGCTCCATGTGCTTGAGGTTGCCCGTCAACCCCATGCCCTCGGCGACCGTG